AGAAAAAGAAGCATAGATACAAAAAGCAGCTGCAAAAGGCAGGAAACACACAGCCAGGTAGACCAGCTTCGAGCCAGCTCCCATGTCAGAGGATGAAGAGAGCACATCCAGCCAGTCACGGTCAGAGAAACAGGACTACACTGAAAAACAGGCTGATCTCCAACATCTATAAACAAAGGTGTTGATGGCAGCAGCACAGCTGATATTTCTCTCCTTGATGGACTCACAGCCAAACAGAAACAGATGAGGTGAAGCTACTATGAAAAAAAGCAGAGAGAGCATTTAAAGATCTAATGGTGCAATATGCTGGCTGAGTGAAAAATTACCTTTAACTTTTTTTTTTTTTTGCACTTTTGATGCACAGTTGCATGCAAATCTGGATAAAAAAGATACTTTCATTTAGATCAATTTTCCTGGTGTTTATTTTTAATCATGATGTAATTATATCTAAACTTTCACAGTGATATTGGATTGAATTACTTTTACAAATCACCCACACTCTTATTCTTAAACAAAACAGTTAAATACAGGTTTGAATTGACTGCAGTTTGGATTTACCTGACAGAGGCTGTTGGATATCCTAACAGCATTCAGTAAAATGAGTTCTTATATATGAAGGCTTAAAAAAACGAGCAATGAAAGAGAGAGAAATCCTAAACCAACTGTCCCTAAATTGTATTTTTCCACCTGCATCCTACAGGGTGGGGTGTACTTTGGAGAAAAGTGCATGAAAAAAACATAATTTACTATAAAGTTTTTAAAGAAAGCTGCAGGTAAGAGCTAATTTATGAACCAGTGGGACAATCATGTATGTGTCATCAGTAACAGAAATATTGGAAAAGAATTTGCAGGCACATAATTATGTTAATGGTATGTTCTTCATTCATTCATTCATTCATTCATTCATTCAAAACAAACTTCAGTTAAACTCCCCCGGGAACATCAAAGTCCTCGTAAAGAGGAAGTCCGGGCGTGATTTTCGGCCGTGGGTGAAACTCCTTTTGAGAGTCGTGACTCCTGTCAACGCCGCGCGGCTTTCAACGTGGGCGACCGCGCGCTGATAAATGGAGATGCTGCCCTGCTGTCGGGACGCGATCACAAATCACAAACATGGAGGAGGAGAAGAGCAGCTGCTGCGCTTTCGAGGGAGGAGCGGATCCAGAGGCAGAGGCAGACCTCCGGGAACACGGGGGCCATCTCCTCATTCGGCTCCAGAGAGAAAAGCGCAGAACACGGATGGCGCAGTTTATGGCCGCCGGGCTCCTCCTGCTGCTCTGCGGAGTTCTGGCGATTCTCTACAGAATCGCGACTCCAATGGACTCTGCTCCAAACAACCTGGTAACTTTTTACATTTGTTTTTTTGGGAACTAGTGTTTTCGCTTTGAAATCATGCAACTGCTTTGTTTTTGTTTTTTTAAGTGCGCAACTTAACAGGCTCTCAGAGAAGCTCCAGGTTTGTTCCGTCTTGTAAAGTGAATGTGGTTTAAAAAGCCTCGGTAATCATTGTGAAGCCGTTGTGTAAACACTGACAGATTAAACCCACTCAGCCTCACTTTCTCTAATTGCACGTGCTGTCTTGTTATGAGCGCGCGACAACAAGCCTGCGGAGTGCGTCCCACACACTGAAAAAACAATGCAGCCGTTTGTAGTATTTACTTAATCATTTGTAGTTGCTTTAATTGTTTAATGCAGGGTAGGACATAAAACAATTATGTTAAAGTAACTAAACAGGATAAAATAAATGCAAAAAAAAAAAAATGGTTGCAGATTTTTATTTTTATTTTTCAGTGCAGCTGGACGGAAACCGCTGCGGTTTTCATTTTTATTTTCACTACTGATTCATAGAAATTGGCTGCAAATTCAACCACCTGATTCTTTACAGGAGTTGGGGGGGAAACAGAGTTTTAATACCATCATGGTGGCAAAAATAATCTAATTAAATCCACCAGGTGCCCAAAACAAAAATAAAATCATAAAGAAATAGATTTTTTTTTTCTTTACCTGGTCCACAGAAAAAGTAAGAATGTTTTATTTTGGTAGTTTGATTTCTTTTTAACTTGTGTAGCAAAGAGAGTGAATCATACTAGATCCAAAAGCAGAAAAACCTGCTATGTAGTAAGGCCTATTAGATGAGTCAATGTTCATTAATAGACTACAGTCAATGAGACAGCGTGGTTGTTGAGAAACAAATACTATGTGTTAACAATAAGATTTTACACTACAAGAAGATTTTATTGTGTCTGAAATAATGTGTGTATTTCTTGAACTGCAGTTCAGCCTGAGCTCTATTCAGCTGTAATGTGTATTAATATTTAACAAATCTCAATGCATGAGATGAGATTCCTCAACCTTAATCGCAAAATGTCAAACTTGATTTATTTTGTTAAAGAATGCCTCCAGATTTCAGGAACAGGGTGAACAGAAAACTGCTTCAAACACATGTTGGCTTCAAGTGAGCCAGAGTTTGCCAGCAGGAACAGACAGGTCGGCTGGCTTTAGATGAATGCTGGATTAGAAATGTGACGCCATCAGCATACTATAAAAACTACAACCGGAGAAGTGAATGTAAAATACTGTGAAATCAAAGATAGCAAACTATATCAACACATTAAACAGAATCAGACATTTTAAAGACATTTAAATCCAAATTTACTGTGAAAATCTGAAGGAATTGTAAAATGTATAGAAAAAGAGGGTAAAGTAGCAGGAAGCTACTGTGAACTATTCTCCCAGAAAGACAGATTTCACTGATTCATCCTTTCAGGCTGCAGGTAACTGGTCGATATTTTTGGCACTGGGTGCGGCCATGCTGAAACTGTTCAATGTTTCTGCTTATATAACATGAAAGTATAACATGCAGCTGTTCAGATTTCCAATAAGATATAAAAAAAAAAAAGAGCAGCATAATGATACTGAGTTTGGACATGTGAAAAGGAAGGAAAGATATATGAAAGATTTAGGATTTTTTGCACTCCACTGCTATCTTATACTTTTCTAATGGAATAAATCAGCCATGTTTGCTAAAACAGTCAAATATTCTATTAATATTTCGTATTAAAACAAGTATTAGCAGAGTGTAAAGTCTAATATTTATGTTGAGCTAATAGGAAATGTGTTTTATTGAGGTTGTTTGACTGCAGGGCTCATGTTTGGTCTGCATGTGTTAGAAGTCACCCTAAATATTTACTTTAGAACCATAAATTAGTAGATATAGTCCAGCTGGTTTTTATACAACTGGTTGAATGTTTTAACCTGCATTTATTGTTCTTTTTTTATGTCACATGATAAGTTATTCTTGTTTTTATATTCTTGCAGATCAATCCTGATTCTGGCAACAAATCGACAGGTAATTATCGGGTTTATACTCTGTTTTTGTTTTGTGCATTGTTTGTTATTAACACTAAGACATTTGCATTTATCTTTTAGGCATCTCTGAAAGGCAGCACTCACCAAATGCGAATGGGCCCCCCAGCGCCATGCTGACAGGTAAAGAGGTTTTTCATTCTCAAAACAGAAAGTAAATAAGAACTTTTAAAATGTTGTCATTACACTGATTCATTTTCAAATTTAATCTATTTGAGTTTTGCTGTTTATTAGCAGCCCTGATAAGCATGACAGGCAAACCAGGACGTATTCTCATTAGAAGAAAGCGTCCAGAAACAGACGGGGATAATATATCAGCCTTTCTACCACCATTTTAATTAAATTCGGTTTATTAGTATACACCAGTTCACAACACGTCATCTCAAGGTAATTTACAGAGACTGCTCAACCAAACCTTTCAGGCAGATCGATGTAACGTTTTCTACCTAAGAAAAAAACAGCTGATTCCATCCAGTCATTGACGCCACAGGATTCGCACCTCCTGGCATGAGCCGACAGTAGATATTCACTTGCATTTAGTCATTGGATCTGCAGAAATTTCTCACACTGAGCATGCATGCAGCAACAGTGGAGAGGAAAAGCAAACTTTTGACA